AGGGTTCCTCTGTGTTCCTCTTGCCCTCCCCACCCTGTTCACCTTTTACCTGCTCAAAAACCCTGGCTGAGCCTCCTAGGAATTTCCTGTCCTGGAAGCAACTGTTTGGGTGGGGGAGGGTACCTGGCCTCTGAGAGCCCCCTACCAGCCCAAGGTAACTGTCTGAACTGAGACAACTCTAAAAGAAGGAGCAGAAGATGGGGCCTGACTCCCAGGGAGACCCACACACTCAATACATACCTCCTTGCCCTGTGCTTTTTGTCTTTCCTGTGATTCTATTTCTCAGCCATCCTCAGCCTTCTTCTTTTCTGCCTCCAGGCCTGGGTCCCCTTGACTCCAAAGGTGGGGCTTTTCCTGGTGCTTTTCTCTTTAGGTCTTCTTTTCCTTTCCTGGCCTTTCTAGCCAAAATCTCTTCTTCCTTTCTTGCTATTTCTTCAATCTCATTTTTCTCTTTAATTCTCCTGCTCTCCCTCTACCTGTCTTTAGTCTGGATTTCTTATTGTCCTTTGTGCCTTCCACTGGGTCTGTGTAAGTCTTTGTGCTCCTGCACCTGTATATAGCAGGTTTGTTATGCTTCGTCCCTATGCCCTTCATTTTCCTTCTTCTCCAGGCTGTCTCTTCAAGATTATTGCCTCCATTCTCCTGTCTCCAGATAAATTGCTTCAACCAGGCCTAAGGAGCTCACCACATCTATGATGGTATCTGAAGAGAGGAAGGGAATAGGATCAAGGCAAGTGGGAATTCTTTTAAAAACACATGCAGATTCACCCTCACCCTAGACTGGAGCTGCCAGGTGAGCAAGGCCATTTATTTGACACTGTTTTCCTGTTCTGTCTGTGGCCAGACCTTTTCTGGTTCTCCTCCTACCTGGCTCCTGGGCTCCACATCACCATCCCACAGTCAGGTATTTCTCTGCATTTCTGTTTGGTGCTGCTTTTATTTCCTGGAAATGGGGTATGGCCAGAAGAATGTAACTGAAACTTTGCCCCCAATTCCCATGAAGGCTCTGCTCTGTGTCAAGAATGATGGAAGACCAGGTATATGGTCTCAGAATTGTGTGTATCCTTGTTAGCTACTGTTACTGGTTCTTGGTGCCTTCTTGACACTCAAAGACACACTCAGTGCCCCCTTTTTGTTTGTAATGCCATGAGGACATCTTTGCCCTTCCTTTTGTGCCCTGTACTATGCCTGTACCTCATTGCTCACTTGCTAGGCTTTTTCCCCAGCAATCTCCATATTTTCTCATTACCACCCCCATCATTGCATCAGAAGCTTCCAGCGTTCTGTTTCTCCCACCTAGTCCAAGCCTACTTCCTCTTTCAGGGAGGCTCCCAGGACTGACTCCAAGCCCTATCCCAGCACTCTTCTTCCTTTCACTGCAGGGAGAATTCCGTCATGCCCCTCCAGTCTTCTGCCCTGTCTCTGCCTTTGCTGGAGTCTGAGCATGGCCTGGGGGAGTGAGTACTCTGCCTTCTTTCCTTGTTTCAAAGGCAGGACTTTGCTCAATCAACAGACTTACTCAGAACACCTGCTGTGTGCCTGGCAGCCTGGCCCTGTACTAGGTGATAGAGCTGGAGCTCTGAAAAACACAGTCCAGATGACAAGGATTCCCCCAGGGCAGGGATGAGGGTAGACAGTGCAGTGTGGACCTTCTGTAGCTGAGGTGAGAAGTGAGTAAACTGAGCTTTGAGGGCATGCAGGCCAGTCATGGAAGACTTCAAAAAGGAGGTAACTACTTGAATCCCAAAGGAGGGAGAGAAAATAGTATCCAATCCAGGGAAAGACCTGACCAAGGGCATGAAGAGGTAACAAAACCATGGAGCATGCAGAGAGGAGAGAATGGGGCTTGTGGCTTTCTCCTAATCATGAACCAAGTCGGGACAATCCATGGGCATCTGGACTCTGTCTCAGATACTATCTTGGCTGCAGGGGCTGTTTTGGAGCCAGGAAACATTGCCTGTGACATTTGCAGGCTTAGGATCTAGTCTACCTTTCCCTCGAATTACATTCCTTATACCCTTCATTTTCCTTCCTCTCCGGACTCTCTCTTCAGGATTATTGCCTCCAATCTCCTGTCTCCAGATAAATTGCATCAATCAGACCTAAACAAAGAGGGCATTTTACTTCAGAATCTCCAGGAGGAGAGATATTTTCTTTGTCATGTCGCTGCTCAGGTTCCTGGAAGTCCCTCTACTTATTTAACTGCCCAGGGAAGATAAGGGTCCTAGCTAACATTTAGTGTGCACATGCAAAGGAATGCACCAAATATGTTGTAAGTCTCATCCCATTCGATTTTCACAACACTCTGGGAGGTAAGCATTGCGTCCCTCAGTTTACCAATAAGGGAAATGAGGCTTAGAGAGTAAATGACTTGACCTAGGTCACATGGTTAGGAAGTGGGAAAGGCACTATAGACACCTGATTCCTAAACTTGTGCTTAAAAGAGAATTTTGCAGTTCTTAGTCCAGATTTGTCATTGTATAGGTGAGCAAACAGAGTCCAGATGGGGGAGTGGCAGGCCCAAGGTCATACCACTTCTGCCTCTGGCAAGATCTTCATGTCTGACTCTGACCCAAGGGCTTTCCACTGACTCTGTCCTGCTGCAGGGCCAGCTGCCTCCTTGCTTCAGTGGACAAGGACCCAGCTTCCCACTGCTCTCCAGAGACTTCACTAGGAAACCAGGGTGTCCAAGCCCCAAGCAGGAAAGCTGTGAATATAAATTTAATCTCTGATCCAAGGCTCCCAGGCTACCCAAATCTGAAGCCCTTGACTTGGGCTCTGGAGACAATAGGAAGGAGAAACATGAGTGTAGAGAGTTTGCAGCATGAAGCTATACTAGAGAAATATGCAATGATATGAATAAATTTGAATAATAATGAGGCAATGCCAGAATTAATAATACCGGCTGCTCACCTGACCCACCCTTCTCTTGCAAATATACGGGTGAGCCTATACCTTTGCTTCTTTAGAAGACATGGATGGACAGTCAAGTCAGCAGAGTTGGGGAGCTGCTCATAACAGAGTGTGGGGGGAAACCCAATTTCTAACTTCCTGATCCCCTGCAGACCCAAAGAGCTAGATTTGCATACTTAACCAAAAGAGGCTTCCTCTATGTTTTCAATCATGCTGTCCATCAGTCCAGTTCTGGTCCAGTCCCCTCTCCCTTTGTCCGTTTATGTGCAGCAACCAATGCAGATGTCAAATGCGCAGGGAAATTCAGAGGAAAGAGAGAGTGTGGCCCTGGCCTTGAGCAGAGGTTCTCATTCTGGAGGCACAGATAGGGCATTCACCCCATCCACCAGCTGCCCTGTACCCCACGACAAACAAAAGCATGAACACAGATTCTGATAGCTTGGGATGGGAAATCCCATGGATAAACCTGTGACAGAAGGGCTGAGTGATGGGATAAGCAATGTTTGTTCAAGGCGCTAAGGGACCAATCTAGGAAGACTTCCTGGAGGAAAGGAATGTGGAGCAGGTTTGAAAAAAGGGAGAAATGAAACTGGAGGAGGAAAAAGAAGAAGGAATGACACAGCAAGGGTCCTGTCTCTGATAACTTAGAGGGATGTCTTGGAATGGGGAGGCACAGGTTCTGTTTGCTTACTTACAGAGTAATGGAAAATCAGAGAGATGAAAAACATAGTTTGGAAACAGTTGAATTTGGGATGGTGGTCTCAGCAAAGACTTGAGAGCTGAAGAGGAAAAGAAGGGGAAGGAGTCCCCTGAGTTCTGGAAAAACTTGATTTTGTTTCCAGTGGTATGAAAGGTTGGGGACATGGGTTGGGTACCCAGACCTCTCTCTTAGCCATCCCACAGCTCCTCCATTTCCTGTCCTCTTCCCCGCAGCCCTGCACAGGAATCTGAGGCACCGCTTCTGGAGCTTTGCACCTTTCCCAGACCTGCCCAGCACTGGGCTAAGCAGAGTGACTGGAGTGGGCAGTGGGAGTGTTGGGGGAGAAGAAACCGCCATCCAATTCCCTGCTCCATTTAGGCTCCACAATTAAAGGCAATTATTCTGCAGTGCTCTATCAAATGGTCTTGGCTGAGTTGCCAGTCAGGCAGCCTTGTGTAGCTTCCCACAGTTCAGGAGGCTGAGCATGTGCTGGGTATCCTTATATGTGCACTCATGCTCCTAGTGCGTGGGAGCCAGGGCTAAACATATAGAACAGGGCAAGTGTGCCATGAAGTAGGATCACAGCCACTTGGTTTTGGATACACAGCCACTCAGGAAGCTTATATACACACCTGCCCCATAGAAACTGCCCTTATGCACTCGCTGGATACATTCATAGGGAACTGTACCTGGTATAGTTGCGCATGTGTGTTACTTCACATTGGCTCATACAAAACATGTCCAAGTAGGGGCTCAATGGTATATTGATGTTCCAAGGATTGAGGGGGACAGCAGCATCATGAGCAGCATTTGTTATGGACTTCCTGGAAGGGAGGAATGTGCTTTATGCCTGCTTTGCTCCAGCCTCTCTCCTGCCCCCTGCCCAGACAATGACTACTCAGAGGCCTTTTAACATCAGAGTACTTATTTAACTTATTTAACTGATACTTAAACCTTTTAATATTAGAGTACTTATTTTTTATTAATTCAACAAGGCTTTATTAGCACAGTGGAAGCAAACTGACATAGGTGTGAGGGTGAGAGGGTGGTGGTAGAGGAAGAGCCCAGGACCTGGAGTACTGAGGTTCAGGTTTGAACCCCCAGCTCTGCCCTGAACTCACTGTGTGTCCTTGGGTAACTTAGTCATCTCCTCAGTGTCCTCATCTGTAAAGTAAGAGGGTTCAATTAGCCCAATCTCTAAGGCCTTTACATAACTTTGTACCGCTTTATATGATTGCTGAGTACTTTGGTTCCTGAAACCATTCCTGTGGGCCATGGAGGGAGAAAGAATTAAGGGTGAGCATGTGATGTCTTGCAAGGAAGGTGCTGGGGCTGAGGTAGGGCAGAGACTAGAGGATTCACCTGCCCAGCCTTCATCTCTCTCCAGCCTGATGCCAGGTGGGAGCAGGAGTCTAGGGTGGAGCCCCACTCCTCATGCATCTCCTTACCCAGTGCCAGCTTTGGCTTTGCCAGGGACCCAGACTCGCTTCAGCCAGGAGCCAGCTGACCAGACTGTGGTGGCCGGACAGCGGGCCGTGCTCCCCTGCGTACTGCTCAACTACTCGGGAATTGTGCAATGGACCAAGGACGGGCTGGCGCTGGGCATGGGCCAAGGACTCAAAGGTGAGTGGGGCCACCCACCTAGCCCAAGATCCAGACTATCCAGTTTTTTGGCCCATCACCCCCCTCCATTCTCCAAAATAGACTCCTGGACTTAGCATCCCTTCTCTGTGCTCCAGGCTCTTCTGAGTGGGTCAGGCTCTCTTTCTCTCCTCCAGAGCTGTCTCCATTGCTTTCCAAACCCTGCAGTTCTGTGTTTCCTCCTGTGTACTGGCTCAAGAAAGACAATGAGAAGCCAGAGAGATCAAAGGAAACCAAGAGATATTTATGTCAAAGAGCTTCAGATAGACAGACAGACACCACGAGACCTGCTGCAGGAAGAAAGAGGTAAAGCAGGAGGTGCTGGGAGAGAGTTTCCTGCAGAGCAAGAGAGAAACAGGCAACTTTTATGTCAGGCTGGCTTTTTTCCAGCCGGTCTCCTACCCCCCTGCCCAGGCAATGTCTGCTCAGAGGCCAAAAACTCATTTTGATATCAGCCTGGGCACTTATTTATTTATTTATTTATTTATTTATTTATTCAACAAGCTTTTATTAAGCTCTATGGAACCAGTGCTGAAGCAAATATAATGTCAGTAAAAAACAAACCAACAAACAAACAACCTCCCCCCAAAAACAAAACAAAACCAATCTGTATTCCAAAGCAAGTAAGGATTCTTTTGGAAAGGCTGTTTTGCAGAGTAGAGGAATCTAGTCACCTGGTGCTAATCCTGCTCTGCCACTACCAGCTGGGTGACCTTAGAAAGTCACTTCACCTCTCTGGGCCTTAGTTTACTACTGTATAAAATAGTATAATAGTCACAACCCTGCCTGCCTTCTAAGTGCTTTTGTGAGTTTTGAACCAAATGAGAGAATAGACTTTGTGAAAACACATTGTTCACTGTAAAGCAGATAAGTATGGGAGGGACTGTATATTTTTATACTTATTGTCCAAAAAGTTGAGATTATTTGCTGTGGGTGTCATGTATTAATACAGGTGGGTGAAATTTGTCTGTATAGAGCAATCTGTGAAAAGGAAAGAGATGGGTCTGGTGGATCTATTGATGATAGAAAGGGAAAGAAGCTGAGAGAGAGAGAGGGAAAGAGAGATCAATATGGAGAAGAATCAATAACTTCTGAACAGATGGAGATAATGGGAGGGAGCTGGTGGTGGGGAAGGAGAGAGAGGGGAGGGCAGGAGAGTGTGAAAGGTTGGGCAGGAACAAGGGATACTGAATTGCATAGGGTCAGATTCTCTGAGGCCCATCTACCATAGCCACAGCTTCTTCAGGGAACAGGAGATCTCTGGTTTAGGGGCTCTTTCAGGGAGCTAGCAGGACACTGCCTTATCCATTTCTCCCTTGGCAAGTTAAGAGTAAGACCTTGGCCTTCTTGAACTTTCCTCTGACCCCAGTGAGCTCATGTCTATGCTGCAACGCCCTATATTACCTAGTGCTGTGCATCTTCCCATCTCTTCCTCTCCTTTCACTCTCTTGTCACCTTTATTTTTTTCCCCCCTTTTCTATTATGATACATTTTTCTTCAAACTGCTTTGGAGATTTCATCTGCTCCTGATCATCCCCTATATCTGCTCTCACACCTTTCCCCAACCTCCCATCCGCACCCTGTCCCCTCCTCCTCCTGCTTTATGGTTCCTAGCCTCACTGTGGAATTTTATGACATCACAGTGTCCACATCTGGGACTTCATCCTTATCAACTGGGATGGGATCCCAAGAGAGGGCAGAGGGTGGAGTGTTGGCCTGGAATGGGATGTGATCCCTGATGTGGGGGGATGAGAGGTGGGCAGAGAATATGCCCAGTCATTCAGGCTGGCTCCCAGGTTGGAATGGGGCTCACGCTGGGCTCCCCCTTTCTGTTCCTGCAGCATGGCCGCGGTACCGGGTCATTGGCTCTGCAGACGCCGGGCAGTACAACCTGGAGATCACTGACGCCGAGCTCTCTGATGATGCCTCTTATGAATGTCAGGCCACCGAGGCTGCCCTGCGCTCCAGGCGGGCGAAACTCACCGTGCTCAGTAATAGCCCTCAACATCCCTCCATGCCCTCGGCCCACTCTTCTCTCTTTCCCTTGGCATCCTGGAAGTCCCTCCTGTTCTCCAATTACCTCTTTCATTTTTCACTTCTCACTCTCTGTTCCTGGCCTCGTGCCTGTCCCCACTGTCCCTGTATCTCCCTAGCTTTCCCTCCGCAACTCCTTCTTATAACTTCTTCTAAAGCCAGGTTCAAATTATAGGAAGCAAAATGGGGATGTGGACAGCTACTGGTGGATGTGTGAGGTCTGGCATCCTGTGCCCAGGCTGTTCAAGGATTGGGCTCTGCCTTCTGAATATAAGGCTCTTCATGCCAGAGCAGAGGAATGCTAGGGTGATAGAGACCCAGCTCTCATTTGCCTAGCCTCTCCTGGCAGACAGGCCTGTTGTTGAGGGAGCTTCTCCTATCCTTTCTCCCAGTCTGCTGCCTTTGAGACCCAGAAGCTGCCTTCTTGGATCCTTTTCTTCCTGACTCAGCCTCACTCAGCCCTGCCTCTCTTTCTCTGCCTCTTTTCCTCCCTCATTGCTCACTCCTCCTCCTCCTCCTCCTCAGAATCACCTGGACACTTCCTTAGAAAGCAGGGAAGCAGGACTGGAAGAAATGGGCTGAGGGCTAAGGACTGGGAGGGGATTCTGCCTGCATCTGGATGGGCTCTGGAGGAGGTAATATCTCTCAGCTGCCCCCCAAGAGGCACAGAGCAGATGTTCCTCTGCGTTAACACTGGGGGCCATTTTCATAATGACGGGACTCTCTCCAGCTGCACACAGTACAGAAATGAGACTAGCTCTGATGTGCTCCCTACCTCTGCCATGTCTCTCTTGCAGGACCTCTGGCTCTCTCAGTCTTTCTGTTTCACACAAGCTCAGGGGCTCTCACTGGGCCTCTGTCTCTCTTGTGCTTCTGTCTGTGCTTGATTGTGATCACTGGTGACCCTCCCTCCTCCCTTTTGTTATCAACACTGTTCTTTTTTCCTGCCTCTATTTGATCATGCACCCTCTCTTTTTCCTCCCCTCATCAGAATTTGTTGAAGTTGGGGAAGCCCCCAGCGAGGATGGGAGGAAGGAATGAGGAAATCAGTGAGCTTGAACACAAGGAAGTTTTTTACTGGGGCATGACAAATACTTAGAGTATGACAGGAAGAGGGTTAGACTGGGAGTCAAGAGACCTGAGCCATTTCTGCACCAACAGTCTAAAGAGGTTGCAACCTCTGGACATTAGTTTTCTTATTGGTGACATGGCATAATGATACTACCCTTTCCTAACAACTGCCGCTTTGTTGCTCCCCATGCAAGAAATTGTAAACTGAAGGTCTGGGAAAATATGAGGTCTCAAAATAAATGAGGACTGGAGGGACCCCACAACCAATATGTTGGACGTAAAGTTCCATGAAGGACTAGGGCTTAAGGCTGGTGTAAGACTTTATTTTCATTTCTGGAATGGACATAATGGGAAGAATTCGCAAGGAGCAGGATTTAGGTGAGGGAGCAAGAGTTAGTTGACCGCCAGGGTGTGCATGGGAAGACAAGAAATCATCTTCCATCCCTTGTTAGTGTGTGTGTGTGTGTGTGTGTGTGTGAACCCCATGTTGGACCAGGCATTCCAAAGGAACCATGAAATTCTTAGGAGGCCTTTTTTCTTCTTTTTCCTACCCTGACTGCCTCTGTTTTGGGGTGCTAGAATATGTGCCCTGGAGAACTCCCATTGTAATGAGAAGGCCCTGATAATCATTCCTTCCCTTTCCTACTTGAGCATAGACAGAAAAAAAAAAAAAAAAAGGTGAAGAAAGGCCAACCAAGCCCCTGGGTATGCAGGAACAAGGCTCATACTGGTATCCAGTGGCTTGGTTCTATCAAGGAAGGCTTCCCGGAAGAGGAGACTATAAATGGAGACCTACTTGGAAGAGTGCCTTGTTAAAAAGCTCAAAAGCCAATGAGGGAGAACCACATAAGTAGGAGAGCTTGTTTGGAGGGCGATTGTGTTGAGGGTGTGGACCTTTGTAGCCTATCTGAATGATTTGGATAGATGAGAGGAGCAAGAAAAGGCCCCAAGAATAGAAGAGATGAAAGGTTAGCCTGATCGCTTTTTTCCCCTCTTTGTCTCTCTTGAATTCTCAAACTACCTCTCACCTGCAGCCTCAAGGAGGCAATAAAAAGGCAGTACATTTCTTGCATCCTTCCTTGTTTACCTGCATACACACAGGTTTTTCTCATGGCAGCCGGGGGGCTCAGACATTGGACAGGGCAGAATCAAGAGTGGACTGTGTGCAGTGCCTGGTATGAGCCTGCCTGCACAGAGCCAGCTTCATCAACTCCCTACATTCGTAGCCCTACCCCTCAGTTTTCTCTCCTCTAAAACCCACCCCAGGTTAGCCTTCTTCATAGACTGGCCTTTCATTCTTCCTGCAGCAAGATTTAGAGATGCTGCCTCTCAACCCCTTTGACACAGACACAGATATAATATAGTATCTACAGACTTACAGCTCCTTCATTATTCACAGTGGTAACAACTCAAGTGCAGCAGTGATGAGCACTGAGGGTTGGTGGGCCTACTCCACATCCTAGCCCTGCCATTTAATTCATTCTCCTATCTCTGAGCACATTTGCTTAACCTCCCTGAGCCTCAGTACCTTATCTATAAATTGGGATTCATGGAAGGACTAATGAAATATACTTGGTAGTCAGGATTAAGTGACATTATATACACAAGGTACTTTGACTGATACCTGGTGAGCATTCAACAGGTGGTAGAAATATTATCAATCACATTAGAATTTATAGATACCATCTCATTCTTGATCTCATTTCCCCTTCACAATAACTATCCTAGGGAATAGGTATCAATGTTCTTTTTGAAATTTTACAAAGAAGGAAACAGAGGCCAATGTCATGTACATATTGATATGCAAATGTCACAAAGATAAAAATTTGTTCATAAACAAACATATGTCTGAACACATGCTATATAACTTATAGCTAAGCAGATACTTCAATAGCCTATTTTCTTTTGCCCCAGGTTTGAAGAAAAAGGTGGGCTAGTGGCAGAAGTGACAAATAGATGGTCCTTTTGAAAGGTCCAAGGAGAAGACCCTGAGTGGCAGCTCTTTATCCATGTCTTCGCACTTTTCTCCCCTTCTCACCCCATTTCCACATCTGCATTCATTTGGCACTGAAACTAGGTACACCACAACAAAGAGGAAGAGCCAGGCATTCAGTGGATGATTTGCTAGCCAGGAGTTGGAAGCACGGCTGACTCTTGTCTGAGCAGTAAAATGAACACATTTCACATGTCATCTGTGCTGTCCACGTTACAGTCCACATACAATGCCTCACCTAACCTGCATGAGAGTCACATAGGCAGACACTGTTATGTCTCTGTTGAAAAACTAAGACTCAATGACTTGAGGGACTCACCCAAGATCACAAAACAAGAAAACGAAGGTGCCAGGATTTAAAACCAAAGTAGCCTAATGTTTTTCCCTCCTACCACTCTGTATGCATGAGTTGAGCACAACAAGTAGGAAACGTAGTCTCGTTCACCAGAGCATTTAGAAGGCTATGGGGGTATCGAACATGTGCGTTTCAATTTCTTAAGTAGTTATCAAGAGCCTGCCTCAGCCACATCCTCAGCATTAGAGGTTGTAAATATTGGTGAGACAGGGTTCCTACTTTTCCAGGAATAATGATTTTGGTTGCAAAACAGGGTGGTTAATTATCATAAGTAACCCAAACACAGAGTAAATGGTGAAAGGAACTTTGATTGACTAGCCAAGACTACTTAGGTGGTAGTTGGGGAGCAAGGGGGACATGGTATGGAAGGCCTTATACAGCAACTAGGATGCAAACAGGATGGATAGCACTTCAACAGAAGCCATGAAGGAAAGAAAAGCAAAAGCAAAGATGAGATGTCAAAGTGCAAGGACTTAGCCTGAGGAGCCCCCAACAGTAGGCTGAGGTGGTTGGAACTCATGCTCATGGAAGTTGGTAGCCAGTGAAGATGTTTGAACAAAGAGGTAGCACAGTAGCACAGAAATGCTCTATTGAGAAAATAACCTGCCAGCAGTAATGGATGGGTTGGGGCCAGCAGGGACTGAAGTCAGAGTCCATTTGGAAGGCTGCTGTAATAGACTTGCCCAACTGGCTGCTTTAGGACAGAGGAACAGACAAGAGGGAATGGAAGAAGCTCTGAGGAGGTAGCCACCTTTCTATGACAGGCCCCCCCCCCCCCGCCAAGGTATAAGCTGTACTCAAACCCTGAGATAGTCCAGCCCCTTCCTAAGTTGAGGCCACTTCCCTCATCTGTATGTAACCTTGAGCAATGGCAGGAAATGTAGTACCAGAATAAAGTACAGGCTGTGAAAGCATAACTGATGGAAGACATGAAAACTATGTAAGCGGAGGCCTTTGCCTTACCCAGGGGTGGGCATGCCAAGGGAAGGATGCCTCCAGGGGCAGAGGTTTTGGTCATCAGGGCAGTGTTGGGCACACTGCACCCTGGACTGACTTTGTTCTGCTCTCCCTCACAGTCCCTCCAGAAGATACTAGGATTGATGGAGGTCCTGTACTTCTTCTGCAAGCAGGCACCCCCCACAACCTCACATGCCGAGCCTTTAATGCCAAGCCTGCTGCTACCATCATCTGGTTTCGGGATGGGACTCAGCAGGAGGGTGCTGTGGCCAGCACGGTGAGACCTAGCTGAACCCTGCATGCTCCCACGGCCCTTCTTGGGCTTTGTCCCAGGTCACCTTTTCTTTCCCCCATGATCTGACTCAGGAATGCAGATGAAAGAAGAGGACTTTAAGGTTACCTGGACCAACCCTCTTGTTATACAGTTGAGAACATATAGCCCCAGAGAAGAAAAGTGAATTTCCAGGTTCATGATGCCATTCAGTAGCTGAGCAGAGACCAAGAACAATAGTAATAATACCTACATTGATGAAGCTACTATGTGCCAGGCATGGTGTACACTTAACTCTTTGTGGACAGTGTATCTTAATCCTCACAGAAGTATCATAAGTTGGGTGTTATTTCCCACTCACAATGAGGAAACTTGATGGTCAGAGAGTTTGAGTGACTTGCCCCTGGTCACACAGCTGATATGCAGCAGTGCTGGGTTTTATACCTAGGTCAGACTGTGCTCTGCCTACTGAGCATCTCAACCTCCTTCTCTCATCCTCTAGTTGGAACCTTTTCCCAGTTAAGAGACTAAGGATGGAGGATCATTATGTACACTTCATAGGTGAACCTGTGGTAGAGAAAGACATCAAACGACTTGCCCAGGATCACCTGGCAAAGTTAAAAGTGATCTTTTTGGAGTTCCTTCTGCCAGCTGTGGACAAACATGCGCACCCAGCTCTTTGCTAGGTGCTGCAAGAGACTTCCCATTGTGGGGAGAGAGATGCTCACCTGTGTGCCTTGGAGAGCAGCTCCAGGACAAATTTGTATTAGCTATGCCCTTGACACATTGGACAATGTACTTCTCTTTGGCCTTAGTTTCACCATTTGACAATTGAGAATTTGGCCTCAGTGGTGCTTAATTTTTTCACCACCAAGAACTCTGTTATTTTTCTCTTTCAGGGCTGCATGTTTTGAAATATTTTGTCAACCTAACAGGCTGATTTGTTAATGACCATTTGTCATACACTACTCCCCCCCCCCCTACTTTTTTATATTGCCAAGCAGCACAAGGGAGCCACTGTTATTGTACTGGGCTGGTACTGTTCAGGCCCAGGAGAGATGTGTGTATTGTTGTCAAAGGGCAGGCCTTACTTTGGCTAATAGTATAGTATACCTTAGGCAGTTTGCAGCCCCAGGGCTCCTTTGATCATATTCGGGGACCTCAGGCTAGATACCATTGAGACCCAATGAGACTTCGAGTCTGTGAGTCCATTCCCTGCCCTGAAGGAGTTCACAGTCTAGCGGGAGATACCCAACTCAGAAACGCTCAGGCACAGTATCTAAGAGGCAAGGCAGAATGTGCCTAGAGCCGTGTGCAGGACAGATTGTTTATAAGAGGCAAAAGTTCAGGCTGGGATAGAGTTCTGAAGGCTGAGATGGCCAAGGGAGACTTTGCAGAAGAGGAGGGACTAAAACTGGAATCAAAGAATTCCAGGAATCAAGCTCAAAACCAGGCAGAAAACTGTAGCACAAAGAGTGAACTCTAATGTAAACTATGGACATTAGTTAGTAATAATGTGTTAATATTGGTTGTAATACATTTATCACACTAATGCTTCCTGTTAATGACAGGGAAACTGTGGAGTGGAGGAGGAGGACATATGGGAATTCTCTATATTGTCTTCCAATTTTTATGTAAACTTAAATCTTTTATAGAAAATAAAGTCTACTAATTAAAATCAAACAAAATCTGGAGGAGAGACTGGGTCTAGGGGCTGTGGCTGAGCTTCAGGTTAAAGTGTCCCTCCAGTGCAAGTCCAGATCTGAGTTGGGTCATGCAGAAAGCAGAGGAGGAGCTTTTATCTTGACTATGTATTCCACCCTTATCTCACCCCAGGAGCTGCTGAAGGATGGGAAGAGGGAGACCACCATCAGCCAGCTGCTCATTAACCCCACAGATCTGGACATTGGGCGTGTCTTCACCTGCCGGAGTGTGAATGAAGCCATCCCGAGTGGCAAGGAGACTTCCATTGAGCTTGATGTGCACCGTGAGCAGGGTCCCAGGGGGAGAGCAGGCTGGAGGAATGGGATGGGGAAGGGAATGTGGTCACCATGGAGAAGTACAGAAGAAACCTCAGGGGCCCCAGGACAGAGGCTCACCTTCTTCATCCTGTGAAGTTTCTCTGATTTGACCCACGGGCCCTGAGGACTGGTGAAGAGGCATTGGCTATGAGTTGAGCAGTTCCCGGGTCTAAACCAGAGTGTAGCTCTAGACAATTATTTAATCTCTCTGAGCCTCAGTTTCCAATTCTGTATAGCTACAGAAAAAAAACACAGACCTACAATTCCTTATCCAAAATTTGAAAGTAAAAGTGATTTGGTGGCAAAACTTTAACCAAGTCTCTTTTTATTTAACTCACTCAATAAAATAGTTTTTTATTTAATATACTTAATTTAACTAGTCACATGTTTCACTGCAGAAGTATTAATGTACATTACTAGGGGGTGTTGCCCAGACCCTGCTGGAGGTCTTGCATAGTAAGCAGTTCATGCACACTATTACCCTTCTAAAATTTGAAAAATTCCAAATTCTAAAACACATAGTTTCAGGGGTTTCAGATAAGGGATTTTGGACCTGTACCTGTTTCTCAGAGTTGTGAGCATTAAATGAGATATAGTATAAGCATATCTAGGATGGAGTATGCTAGCAAGTACATGCTTAATAGATTACCTCTGCCCTGGGTGGGGTGGGATCATGGTCAGCAATTGAAGGATGACTACTCCAATCCATTTTAGTCAGCCAGGGGAGCCCACACTTACGCCTCATGGCCACCATTGGCCTTTACACCGAATTTGTTCCTTTGGTATCATCCTTCATCATCACCCTAAATAACCCCCTAGATTCCATAGGGAAAAGATGAGGAAGACAGATATATTTATTGGAGCTGGTCCACTGCAAACTCAAATTCCCAGACCACTGCACAGTGGTAGTATCCAAGTATATGAGCTAAGGAGAGAAAAAGAAACCTGAGGTACAGAAAAGACCATGACTGCCTGTCCCCTGCTTTGCAGACCCGCCTACGGTGACCCTGTCCATTGAGCCACAGACGGTGCAAGAGGGAGAGCGCGTTGTCTTTACATGCCAGGCCATGGCTAACCCTGAGATCCTGGGCTACAGGTGTGAAGAGCAGAGTCTGGGAGCACTCTGGGAAGGGTACTAGGGAGGGCAGTGTCCCTGGATGTGTGTGAGAAGACTCCAAGCCCTAACCCTTGTATTGCCTTCTCCCTCAGATGGGCCAAGGGGGGCTTTTTGATTGAAGATGCCCATGAGAGTCGCTATGAGACAAATGTTGATTATTCCTTCTTCACGGAACCTGTGTCCTGTGAGGTTTACAACAAAGTGGGCAGCACCAATGTCAGCACTTTAGTAAATGTCCACTGTGAGTAGCTGCAAGTTCAGGGGCAGGGACTTGAGGGCAGGGGTGGGACATGGGAGCAGAGGGCAGGCCTGGGGTGGAGTTGGGTAGGCTCCATGAAGCTGAGAAGATGGGGAATAGGCGCAGTAAGGACAGGAGAGAGAAGAGAAGGTCAGTTGGAGCTGATCCCAATAACACTGAGACCCTAACAAGCTGCTCCCTTCTACCTCAGTTGCCCCTCGGATTGTAGTTGACCCTAAACCTACGACTACAGACATTGGCTCTGATGTGACTCTCACATGTGTCTGGGTTGGGAATCCCCCCCTCACTCTCACCTGGACCAAAAAGGACTCAAACATGGTAAGACATTTGCTTCCTCTCCTAGATACTGGGAGAAAAGAGCTTGGACACCAGTGAGGGAGGTGTCAAGGGAGGTGAAGCATTATTTTTCAAGTTGAACCTTGGACACTTCTGGAGTCTTGGGATTTGGAGGACAGTGCTTGCAATCAACCCCCACCCTCCTCAAAGAATAGTAGCTGGCTGATTTAGTGACAGTGGAAAGGATTTCCTGACCTGTATGTGGAAGGAGGGAAGAGGGCCTGAGTGGAGGTTCTGGGGGTGGCAGGAGATGTGGTGAATGAATGATATGTATGAAGGTAGGGGAACTGAGATGGGTCACTAAATAGGAGAAGTTTTAATTCTACAGCACTACAGAGACCTGCATTAAACAGTTTGGGCAGGAAGAGGGATTTCAGGGTGAAATTTTCACTAGAACAGATCATGCAAAGAGACTGCATTCTCTATGATCTCACTTGCCCCCTGGCCCATCTGTCTCCTGCAGAACTGGTGTGTTTAGAATCAAGGGAAGGACCAGAGAGACTCAGGACCCTCTTTCCCTTCTGGGGATTCACTTGTGGCCCTTCCTGCTTTCTTTCCAATATATCCATTACGGGGCCCACATGGACCTAGGGGCCCAGGCCTCCTGGCTCCCCACCCGAGGCTGCTCTCTCTGCCCAGGTACTGAGTAACAGCAACCAGCTGCTGTTGAAGTCCGTGACCCAGGCAGATGCGGGCACCTACACCTGCCGGGCCATTGTGCCTCGTATAGGAGTGGCTGAGAGGGAAGTGCCACTTTATGTGAATGGTAAGTGACCTAAGAGGGGCTAGGCCTGGGTGGGCAGGCGCTGTAGGTTTCAGCTGACCCTGACTGAATCTTCTGCTTGCAGGGCCCCCCATTATCTCCAGTGAGGCAGTGCAGTATGCTGTTAGGGGTGACGGTGGCAAGGTGGAGTGTTTCATCGGGAGCACACCGCCCCCAGACCGCATTGTGAGTGCTGGGACTGGCATAGGGTGTGAGGAGAGCCAGTCACATACTTCCCTACTTCCCTACTCCAGCTCAGTCTCCTTCCATTTTCTGTCTATGCTCCTACTTGTGTCTACTTCTAATCTTCCAACTTTCTGTCCCTTTCCTGGCTCAAATGCCACCACTTCTCTTGTGTGACCCTGAACAAATTAAGTGTTTTGAACCTCAGTATCCTCATCCATAAAATGGGGACAGTGATCCCCCACTAAGAGGGCTGCTTTGACTAGTAATAATAACAGCAGGTGTGGAAGGCCCCTCATTTGATTCATTGTTAGTTCCCTAGGCTAACACTCTTGCTCTCTCTCGTCTCCTTCCCTTTCCTCCTGATCTTTTCCTTGCTCCCTTCTCTTCCCTCTTCTTTTCAGCGCTACCCCATCAGCTCTCTTCCCACCCTTACCCACGTCCCTCTCCCTTCCTTCTGTCTTCCTCTCTACCAGCTCCCTCACTGCTCCACTCCCTTCTCTCTCCTCTTTCCTACACTATGAACCATTAATTCCTTCTATGACCATTAACCGTCAAACCTCTCATCACATTTAATAACCATTTGGCTGACTCCAGGGCTGCCCAGGGACACTTCATTACCACAGCTGCCCAGACAGGGAGTGACTTGGCTCCCAGGGGCTTTGATTACAGAATGAGGATGGCTAATCCAGGAAAGGGGCCAGTACTCGCCATTATCCACTCTTCAGGCTCTACTTAGAGGGAGGGGTCGCAAAGGGGGACTGCCTTCCTAGAGATCAGGGTGAAACAGCCTGGGATACCCCACTGCAGTGATAACTCCTCACAACTATGAGAGTCTGTGGCTGGGTCTCCAAAGCTAGCCAAGCAGGTTGGTGTGGGGCTGCCTCTGGGTTAGTTAAAGCTAAGATTAAAGATTGACTTATGTGAAAGAAACCTTAGTCATTAGCTAGTCTGGTCCTCTCACTTTACAGATGAGGAAACAGAGAACCAAAGAGGGAAAGGCCACATGGGGACTTGAGGGGAAAACCAGGCCTGGAGCCCAGTGTTCCTGACTCCTCAATCCAGGAATTTTTCTACAACATCAGGGGTTCCCAAATGTTGGTTCATTGGATGAGCTGAACCCACATTACATGAGAATATTATAAAAATAGAGATTTTTTAATAATAATTGAGCCTTTCTGTGGGAGATTCCTATTTAGGACATAAGTCCCAAGAATTGGCATTCTAAAGAATCTCCCTAGATATATCTGAATGTTGGGAGCCACTGCTTCTCCTAGATTGAAGATTCAATGCCAAAGTTTGAGAAAGTAGCTGTGGCTTAGATTTGTTGCAGAATGTGTTAGAGTGGGCTTAGAGATACACAGGGCACATGGGGTAAGAATGCTTTGAGGATAGGTCAGGTGTCCTTGCCACCTGATCCTTTCTTACCACCCCCTGCCCTTCCCACTGCAGGCATGGGCATGGAAGGAGAACTTCCTGGAGGTGGGGACCCTGGAACGCTATACAGTGGAGAGGACCAACTCAGGCAGCGGAGTGCTGTCCACACTAACCATCAACAACGTCATGGAGGCTGACTTTCAGACCCACTATAACTGCACTGCCTGGAACAGCTTTGGGCCGGGCACAGCCATCATCCAACTGGAAGAACGAGGTGACAGCAGTTCTGGCTGGTTGCCAGGGAGCAGGGTGGCCTAGGGATTCTCCCTCTTATCTCCTGGGGCCAGGCTCAGAGGGAGAAAACTCTGTCTTGGGCCTCTCCACTAGAACCTGGCCTTGTTGCTCAGCTGGGGAAATCTGCTTACTTTTTAAAACATTTATTGTGCACCTGCTATATGCCAGACCCTGCACTAGGTGCTGCAGGGACTGATGTGAACACAGTTCTCATGGAACCTAAGGAACTTCAGTTTAGTGCAGAAACTTACACAGTGGCAGCAAATGACTTCAGATGGAGAAATGTCAAGTGATCTGTGAAAGGGAATAACACTACCTACCTCATTGTATTTGTGTGAGGATTTTACATGAGAGAATATTTATAAAATACTTGGCATATAATAGAGGCCCAATAAGTTTTGGTTCCTCACCTCTTTAAGAATCATTTGTCTGATAGGAGACACATGTTCCCTTCCCTATTACACTTCTAATATGGCAAAAGCAGCATTATGTTTGACTTTTCTTTTTTTCTTTTCCTTTTTTTTGAACTAGTCATATTGACATTGGAGATGGGGAAAAATAACTGAGGATCTATCAGTTCTGTCTTAGCTGAGGGCACCAGCGGGGGGATGGGGGGTGGTGTGGAAGAAGAGAAAAGATATAATAAGGCAGAGCTCATCAGGCAAGGCTTTTTGCAGGAGAAGGCCATTTATACAGATTTGACCAACCCAGGACTTCCAGGAAGGGGAAAAATACTAGAGGCAAGAGTCCCAGGTCCTTGCCAGCTCTGGGGTACAAGGGGAATCAAGGTAGACTGTTGAAGTTCTGGGTGGGTAGGTGTGGATGGGGCCTTCACAATGGTGTGGGTGGGGAAGGTAATAAAAGAGGTCAGAACACACAGGCAGATCAGAGAGTTGAGACAGCTGACTTCAAACGAGCCCAACCCAGAAAAGAGAGACCAAGCCTCACAGGAAGGTGGGCTACAGGAGAGGGACAGATGGATCACCAAGACCAGGGTCAAGTTCATGCCCCAACAGCTAAGATGACACATCACCATGACCTCCACTGTGATCAAACGTAAGCTCTGTCCCAAACCCAAACGCAATGCAGGCCTTCCTCTGAAATCCCACCTTGACTTAAACCAACCCCAGACACAATCCAGGGATGCCATTGAAGCTTGTGGCCTTGTGGCAAGGTTGGTCTTTAGCCCACACTGAGCTCAGATCCCCAGGGTATCTCCATCCTTACCACTTTCTTTCTTTCCTCATCTGAAGAGGTGTTACCCGTGGGCATCATCGCTGGGGCCACCATTGGTGCAGGCATCCTGCTCACCTTCTTCTTTATTGCCTTGGTGTTCTTCCTCTACCGGCGCCGCAAAGGCAGTGAGTATGGACTCCATGGGCTACAACCCTCCCTTACCATTGCCTGGGCCCCCAGCAGGCAGGGCCTCAGATGGGCTAGGGGGTGGCAGTTGCATGTCCCAGCCAAGCTAGGTCCAGAAACAACCTACTGCAGAGGCTGGCAGAAAGCATCCAGACTTCCTCCCCCTGTCCCAGGTCGCAAGGATGTGACCCTAAGGAAACTGGACATCAAGGTGGAAACAGTAAACCGTGAGCCACTCACAATGCATTCTGACCGGGAGGACGATACTGCCAGCGTCTCCACAGCGACTCGAGTCATGAAAGCCATCTACTCAGTAAGGGTCCTGTTCTTCCCTGGCTGACTCTCCTCATCACACTCTCAGGACTGGCCCTATCTCAATTCTCTTTAATAACCACTGTCACTCTTTCCTCCCTCACTCAGTTTACCTTGGTCCTGCCACACACCCACATGGGCACATACATCCCCACATGCTTACATGCATGCACGATTACACACATGCACACTCCCAGTCTGGTTTCCCTCCAGCAGAAGATAGGCAGGTGGGGCTCCCATAGGCTTTCTTTGCCCCATCCTTTTCCTACATAGTGTCAGAATTGGAAACGCCTCAAATTTTTCGTACCCAACTGCCTCATTGCTGGATTCCATAGAGGGGCAGTAGTACACCCAAGGTCACATTGTATGTTAGTGACAAAACTGGTGCTAGAACCCAGGTCTCTGGCTTCTTCCCACCACATTCCAGGGACTTTGCTGGGAGAGGATACAGAACTCAAGCCTGCCCATGACTCCAGAACCTTCCCATTTGATGTTCTCTGGGTGTGGGGCTGGTGTTTTTGGGGTATAAGAGCAGGACTTTGGTCTCCTAATGCCCCACACCTGCTGCTCTGCAGTCCTTCAAGGATGATGTGGACCTGAAGCAGGAGCTGCGCTGTGATACCATTGACACCCGGGAGGAGTATGAGATGAAGGTGGGAAAGGGGGAAAGGAGGAAGGGGTAGGGGCACCAGGGCTGGGCTGGAGTGTAGGGTTCTGAGGGCTTGAGTATGGAGAGGAGGGCAGGTTAGAGAAAAAGGTCAGGAGGTTTCCTGAAAGAGCAAAGGAGGTGGAAAGGTTGGCTGGGAATCCAAGGCAGAGCCCTCAGGGCCATGTGAGGTTTGACCCCCTCCCCCGACCCCCACTAGAGGGAATTCCCTCCTCCATCATCTTCTCTCATTGCCCCAGGACCCCACCAATGGCTACTACAACGTGCGTGCCCACGAAGACCGACCCTCTTCCAGAGCAGTACTCTATGCTGACTACCGTGCCCCTGGCCCTGCCCGCTTCGACGGCCGCCCCTCTTCCCGTCTCTCTCACTCCAGCGGCTATGCCCAACTCAACACCTACAGCCGGGGCCCAGCCTCCGATTACGGCCCTGAGCCCACAGCCCCTGGCCCAGCTACTACAGCTGGCACCGACACAACCAGCCAGCTGTCCTACGAGAACTATGAGAAGTTCAGCTCCCATCCCTTCCCTGGGGCAGCAGGGTACCCCACCTACCGACTGGGTTACCCCCAAGCCCCACCCTCTGCCCTGGAGCGGACCCCATTTGAGGCATATGACCCCATTGGCAAGTATGCCACAGCCACTCGATTCTCCTACACATCCCAGCACTCGGACTATGGCCAGCGCTTCCAGCAGCGCATGCAGACTCACGTGTAGGGGCCAGAGCCTAGTTGGAGCATCTCTGCGGGGCAGAGGAGAAGCTGTTCCCTGATATTCAGGGGCGTGCGTTGCTCATTGCTCCTGTCCCCAACCAACCTTCCTCCTCCGGCCATGGCAGGTGGGAAATAGGTCTCCCAGAAACACCCCATCCAAGGATGGTGCTCTATGCACACCTCCTGGGCCTGCCCTTCCCTCTTCTTTGAGAGGATCTGTGTTTTCTGACCTGCACTCGCACCTGAGGATGGGTAAAGTGAGGGTTGTGAAAAGCATAGGGGGCACTTTTTAGCATTTCCTTTGTATCCTACCCCTCTGGTCTCCCATAAGTGAATGGGGGGGGGGGGGAATTCATGTGGGAATGGGTAGACTTTGGCCTAGGAGACAGGAAGTGTAGGGCTGAGTGGCTCTGGCACATACAAATAGAAACATGATGGCCTAGCCAGCCCTCTGTCATCTGCACTTATACCCTAGTGCATCTCTCCTTCAGGACTGCAGAAGGGACCTTACTCTATCTCTTTCTACAGAACAGCCTGGCACTGAGTTCAAACCCAGCCCTCATTCAGCTGAGATTAAAATGCCAGTCATCCTGGCTGCCCACTATGGACACTTGTCTGTCAGTCTGCAGAGAGGTCCAGGTGCTTCCATCAGCGCTGCCCCTTTTCCTTCTCCTTTATGCTGGGCTAGCCAGGTAAGTCAGGAGGTCATGGTGGAAGAAGGAAAGGCTAGGAACCATGTCCTATTTCACCAGCAAGACAGCAGTGTATTACCTATCAGTTTTTAGAATCCACACCAGGGGATCCCACCCAAGCCCCCTTTTCTCCCCAATCTGCCTCACTTACTGATTTGAACTCGAGCTTGCCTAAGAAGTTGTAGATGAAAGGGTAGGGGTGTTGTAGGCTATTTTTCAAAAAATAAAATGAAAACCTCATTTGGAAAAAAAATAATAAAGCTGTAGGTATCCCCCCACCCAAATATAATTTCCAATGGAAAGGAAAGAAGGGGTACATGTTCTTCTCCACCAGATTCCTAACACATTCCATTACTCTGAGTTTCCAAGCACTTCTGAATCCATTTTCAAACATTTGGGTGGTGAGACGTGTTTTGCAGATGGGCTCTGACAGGCTTAGGGCAGGGGCCTGGCTCTCAAACACCCTGTACTACCCCTGAAGCCCACAGCTGGTTAGAGGCCATCTTCCAGGGGGCATGGGAGATGTGCTCTTTACACAGGTTTTGCCTAAGTCTTCTTTTCCTCTTTGGTCAACCATATTCCCCCTTTTGGCAGTGCCTTGAGCCTTGTTGACCAGCTGTGTGTGGAAGGCTCTGCAGGGAGTGGGTATTGTGAGCCCCGAACACACTGACAAGTGTTGCAGAGTTTAGGGAACAGGTTGGCAAGGGAGCCCTGTAAAAGGAAGGGTAGACTGGGTAAGGTGGTGCAGAGGGCACTTCAGGCAACCATGGCCCATGCTGACACCCCCTACACATGTACACACACATGCATGCAACACATTCCCATGGCCCTTCTCAGCCACTACCTGCTAACCAAAGAGAACCGGTGCTACAAAGAGAATCCATGCCCAGCCTCTCCTTTGGAGTGCACTCCTGACTCGCTCAGTCCTGACAACACAGGTGAGACTTTCTGTATCATGCCCAGAATATACATTGCATTTTCTCATGGTCACCTTTCATTAGTCATATTCACTTTAATGAGTTAAACACTCATCAGCCATGGGCCATCACCACCTTTTCGGATGGGTCTGAGGGGTGACATTCTTTGCCACCACCCAACTGGTAAGGATCAGCTAATGCCCAGGAATAAAATAGCTCCATCTCTGGCCTCATAGCTGCCTCTTTGTCCTCCAGCAGGGGCTAGAGCTCCATGGACCTACCCTTTCTGAAACATGATCCAGGCTCTTACCCATATCCACCTCAGAAGTTGACACCTCCCTGCGCAATCCTTTTATGTAAGCTCAGTGAGAAGGCTTGTTAAGGATGAAGATTCCTCTGGAGACATTGACACATATTTTGATTATTTTCACAGAAACCAAAAGCCATGGGTAATCCAGTTAAAATCTAAACAGAAACATTTCAAAACTCCTTTTCCAGGTTTGGTCAGATTCTCTTATTTCCCCCATTTGTGTTAAGTGTTGGGCCTATTCTGTTGAAATGATGGGGAGGAGGGGGCCCAAGTTCACCAAGTAACTCAGGTGATGTTTTAGGGTCCATTAGTTTTCTGAGCCATGATACAGAGCTACTACACTATTCTGTGTTTCTTAGCACCTTAACTGGGGTGTTCTGGGTATCAAGCAAGTGTTGAAGTGCAAGGCACAGGGAGACATCAGCCACCAAGACCATCTTTGTTCATTGCAACTGGCACTCTGGTCCAATCAGAATCTGAATTGGGACCTGCCTGTTAGGCCAAATGGAACCACTTTTCTGGGGAGTGGAAGGTGTCCTTGAACATAGAGCTTTGTTGTCTAAAGCTGGAGTCCTCCAGTATGGTGCTTCAGTACTTGATGTGGTCACCTTGGTTTCCTGACCACTTTTGACAGTTTTGTTTCAGTCAAGAGGCTAGGAGTCAGGAAACTCATTCTGAAATTGTCATTTACTTAGTGACCTTCCATAATCTTTTCCCTGCCTCTGATTCTGGCCTGTAAAATGAGGGATAACGGTTGCACAAACTAGAATTATTTGGCTCATTCTCTATTCATTTGGTGAAGTGGAACATCTGGCCATCCCTTGCAAGGAGTTGAGAACAGTAAGCTGAAGGATGGAAGTGTTGAAACATTCCTTTGAAAGAAGCTTTCACCACTGGCTTCATTATCTTGTCAGACGTGTTGTGAAAGAATGTCCACTAGGAAACCCTTGACCCTAAACAACAAACACATACCTTAAACCTCAGTAAAATTAATATGGGGTTATCTTTTGACCATTGGGTTAACTGTACTGCTCCCCACTCAAAACTAATAGTTTTGCAAGGGTTTCTATGGCCAAGGCAGGGCATGGTGACTCCACTGTGTATCCAACTTCCATGGTGACAAATAGGAGTACCCGAGTCCTTAGGATCATTTTCCTGGCTAGGGACCACTTACGAAAACAAACCTGCAAGCTAAGGTGTTTTAAGCCAGAGGGCAAGGCATGAGTACAGCTGATCCCTCTGTAAAGGAGCATGTGGAAGAGTAGATGAGTTCATCAGTTCTGACATAACCTATGGATCTTGAAGAGGTCCTTATGATTCTGAGTGAGCCCTTGTTTCTTCATGGAGGGCCTAGCCTGCATCCTAAGTCCTGGATCCCTCAAAGCTCAACCACGGAGTTTACATTAAGCAAGTCAAGAAGGAAAGCAGCCAGGGATGGGATCGGTGCTATTTTCTTAGAAATGTCTGCTTTGTATGAAAATGGTTAATTTGACCACCCTGTCTCCAGGTACTGTGTCTTATCTCAGCAGTGGCTACTTCCCTCATCACTTTGAGGGGATAGCCTTTCTGCTTTACAGAATGGAGCACACTGGCCTGGAATTTCTTTGCCCTTGTGCCCTGTCATTAACCAGTTGGCAGTCTGTCAGGAGCCATGAGTTCTGGGTTCCTTAAAATGGAATCAGGTGGTCTGTCAGTATAGGGTTTAAAGAAAATTATGTTAGAGCCAAGACCCCAGTTGGAATGAACTGACTCAGCCACTGCCTCTCCTTGCTGTGTGGACAATCCCCACTGCTGGACTACCATGGTAACCCCAGCCTCAGAAACCCTGGCTTCTCAATCATTTTAGAGCTCTGTATTGAGGGAATCACCGGAAAGGCATTAGAGAAGCTGCTGACACTGACGGGAACACTGAGGAAGTGATAATGAAACACTGATGTGCACAGACCCAGGGATATAATTGGAAAGGCATTTATTTTTATGAAGAGTCTATAAAATTAGCATTTAAACATTCCATTCCCTTCTCTGCCTTCCTCTACCCAACTGCTTCCCCTGCGCCCCCCCCAAATTTCTCTCCTCTCCCAGAGATCAGCCTCTTTCTGAAAGGCCTTACCTTTATCAGCTTAGTCCTGATATTCCATCTCTGGGCTGGTGGAGAGGACAGAAAAATGTGTGGATTGGGAGATGGAAGGAAGGGCAGAATCCCATTTTCTTGCATCACTATGAAGGAGCTCCTGGTCCTGTTCCTGGAGAAATATTTGCTGTGTATACTGGGTGGTTCTGGTACAAGACTGCCCTTTATAAAATAACTCTATTTGCATGTAACTATCATTCTTACCAATATCCCGACCCCTGCTCCTGACTTTTTGGTGGCCCCAATCAGAGGCCTTGTCAAGTGTTGGTGGGCCATGGGCTCGTTTGTTAACTTATGGAGATTTTTAGATGCTGCCACTGTAAATACCCCTAACTCTGGGGATAGAGCAACCACAGTACCAGTACTGTCAAAAGCTCCACACAATTTTGTTAGCAATAGTAACCCAGAAGATTTGGCTGCTTCCAATTCCACCAGAAAGAGATCCAGGGCTCCCTGTGGTCACATTTTCTACTCCAATTACTCTTAGGATTAAAACCTCTATTTCTGGCTCCAATTGAATTTTCTCCACTGAAACCCTAATAATAAATGGATCCATGATAATAATTAAGAGAGAAATATTTTTGTTAGGACAGACCATCGTAGTTTTTAGCAATGTGTATCTCTGTGTCCTTCACAACTTTTGCTATTCTGACTTTTTTCATTTTCCTTTTTTTAAATATTATGTATTATATTTTTAGTCTCAAACTATATATTATATATTTAATTTTTATATCTATAAATATAAATGTTCTAAAAAGCACCTTGTTTTGTGTTATTAATGCAGGAACAGCTCTAGTTACTAAAAAGCTTGCCTGATTTGGGGTGAAATGGTAAAAATTTGTGAAAAAGATAGGAGGTGTTTGGATTGAGACTGCAAAGACTATATTTGTGTCACCTACAGGCTGAGGGACAAGCACATTTTATTCACCAGTTTGTGACTGTTGCAGAACCCTAACCATGTACAAACAGCTCACGCTTCCATTGTTTTTGAACACAGAATCCAAATGTTCAGTGTCGCACCTGACTATGTGGATTGGAAAGTGGGAGACAGAATCTGAGACCCAGATTCCAAAGGATTTGGGAGTAGGTGTGGGAGCAGTATGGGGTTCATTTTTAAAATGCAGTGATTTTGGTCAAAAGCAAAGTTATCAGGTCTCAACCTTTGAACTTGTAGTGAAACAAAATGAAAAAACAAAAAAAAGGTTTACACACAAAGACCATCCTAAGAAATTCTAAATTCTATTTTAATAGAGATTGCAAGGATTTCTCTTTGCTTATTTCACAAGAGTGTTTAAGGATAATTGAAAAAGCTATTTTCAGATAATATTTTTGAATGCCATAAATCAATAGAAGTGTTTACTGTTTTTCTCATCTAGTTAACAGCCAACCAAACTAAAGGTGTTGACAGTAGCCTTTTTGTACACATGGGACATAGGACACCATCAGAGACTGAGACAGAGATGTAAGTGTTGAAAAAAATAGAGGTATTTCAACCCATTTCCAAGAAGGTTGGGGGTTACAGCTCAGAGCTACTACTGAGGGAGAGGCAGAGCGGTAGAGGCTGCAGTTTAGAGGCCTAAGTCCAGGACAAGAGCTTGTAGTTAGCCCATGGTAAGTCTAACCTGGTTGGGAAAGAGGCCCAGGTGCAGGTTATAGCAAGGTAAGTGGAACTGGCACAGGTAAAACATGGCATGATAGTTGGGATCCAAAAGGAAACAGAATAGGGTGGAGGGGGAAAAAAAAAAAAAAACAGGAGAAAAAGCAAGTTTGTGCAAACAT